CGGCGGTTGGCGATGACGTCTGTTGTTTTATGTCCGGCGCTCAAACGTACGTGTCGAGGTGACGCAGGAGTCATTCGCCCAAAGGAATCTCGAGCCGGTAAGACGTACTCGAGCGATTCTCTGCGGGCCAGTCGCGTCCCCGCGAAACGGCCAATCGCTTGCGACGTCTCGGAGCCGGCGAGTCACTAGACGTGCAGTGCGCGCACACATCGGACGTGTATTCTCGAGCTTCTCGAGACTCGGAAAATGTCGAATGTTCCATTACGTTCCGCGGCGGTTGGCGATGACGTCTGTTGTTTTTTTGTCCGGCGCTCGAACGTTCGTGCCGAGGTGACGCAGCGGTCATTCGCCCGACGAATCTCGAGCGGACGGGACGCTGCCGCGAGTCGCTCCGCGCGTAGTTTCAGTGATTGGCATCACTGGCTCTTTCCGCGGGAATCGACGGCATCCGCGCAGTAACCGCGAGTTTATCAAGTGTTCGTCGCGTACGTGGTGGCTGTGCGAGTACGGATCGGGAGACATTAAGCGATTGTGAGAAGACGAAAGAGGAACGGATGTGTCGCGCGATTCGCTCGGGGAGAAACCGCCGAGACGAGTGCACGGGAACTGTGAGTTACTGTTTCGCTGCGACGATCGCCCGTTCCGCCACTCGAACGTGGCGGAATCATCTCGCGAGTGTCGCACGTCGCCTTCTGAACGCGAGTGATAACTTAATCTCCGATTCTCCACGAAGGGAGAAAGAGCGGACGTGGTGGATGCGTCGCGCGATTCACCCGAGGCGGGACCGTCGAGACATTTCGTTGTTGTGCCGTTGACGGGTGACGATTGCCCGCCGCGCCATGCTTGGACGTGGATGTGGCATCAGTTTCTCTCGCGACCGTCGCGAGTCGCGTTCTGACTCTTGCACGCAGTGTCGAGTGATGCATTACCTCCGATTCTTCTCGAAGGGAGAAAGAGGACCGAGTGCGCGAGTGAGTGTTAGTGTCAGTGTTGAGGGAAACCAGCGCAGCCGACCATCCGAGAGGACAGCCTGAGTGGAGGAGGAGGCCCGAGTAAGGGCATCATGCACCGGCGGAGCAACCTTGCGGTAATTATTTTTCATTTTGCCGTTTATTCTCGAATCATTTTATTGCACTGTAATTTAAAAGTAATAATTAGAGAGAGAGAGAGAGTTTTTGAAATTTTAACAAAATTCGTTCCTCGGTTGTTTTCGAAAAACGTGTAAGTAATTATTTAAATATAAATATCTCGTTGAATAGAGAAAGTTTGTTGCGCGTCAGAATTATATTTTGAAACTCTGCTTTTTTTAACGCTGTTTTAATAATAATTTTATGTTTGTGTTACAGAACCATCGTAGCGACGTTGCAGATATAACTCCGCTTGTTGCGCGTCGGTTGGTAAGTGACGAATTAACTTTTTTTTTACTGAGGTAACGGATGCGTGGTAATTTTATTAAATATGCATATCATTAATGCTGCGAATATGTAGCAATTCGTTAGCGATATAAAGATGTTAAACGGAAGTATAAAGTATTCCACGCATCCGTTGCCTTAAAGTAGACAAGTTGAAACGTTTAAGGAGAAATTTAGTCCTGGACCATACTTATTGTTAGATATCTTTTGTTGAATAATTTAGTGTGCATATATGTATTATAGACGAAATGAAATTTGGGAATACCATGAGGATATGTAATATTATTTGTTACTAATTACATAAATTAACAATGCTATTTAATCAATATTACAATTAATATATTGAAGTTTATTTTATTCGGAAAATATATATATTACATAATTTTTAGTAAATACAGAGACAAAGATAAAAGATTAAACGAAATTATAACAATTAAAATATTGATTATTGCAAAATTTACTGCTGTTACTTTAGCTTACTCGTGGCATTCGTATGCTGCGATCAGCAGAGAACAAGAATGAAATATCTATACATTGTTATATATAAGAAAATGAAAACTTATCACTTTTCTCATTCCATTCCCCATTTCATCGTCTCTACCAAAAGTTTTCGTCCAGGGTTAAATTTTATAAAAGTTAGTGCAGAAAGGGAATATGATTTATATAAATATTCCTTTCTAAGCAGTATTTTTCATTTGCATCATATTTATTTATACACATTTGCATTACAATACCTAATTAAATCACAATAAATATTTTATATATTTCATATATTTCATACAACTTATTAATCTGTTTTTTATAAAAGACAAAACTAATTGTTACGCATTGTCATTGCTTATTTGAACGCACAAACTTTAGCCTGAACGTTTACAGCTTATCCATACGTAGTGATTGATAACTGGATTTTATACCAGTTAGTAGTAATGTCGTGAGATCCAATGTATATTTTGTTATGAAAGAGAAGAAGACTTTTCCTAGAAATTATCTTAAAATCTATCTGTTTCGAGTTACTTAAACATACCTGATTTTTTAATTAAGAGACACGGTATGTAATATATTACGCGACACAAAATTTTAATAATCTACAAAGTACGAAGAGAGCTATTTTTATTAATTCAATAATTTTAATTGACAAATTTATATTATCTCTTTCGGATCTCGCGTCATTTATGTGAATTTCTCATCTCTGCATGCTTTTGAGATGAGATTCACAAACGAATCGTTCGAATCGATAAAAATACGCATATGGGCCTTGGTTTCTATCGGATAACGCGTCATTTCTAGCAATTTTTATTCATTTATTTTCAAGTTAAAGTTTCATTGTTTTTTACATTATCAAGTTTATATATAAAAGTGTCGTACCTATAAAGTCTAGAATCGCGATCCCCTCAAATCAAGACGTTGTCGACACAGAGAATTCTTTTCTGATCGAATATATATTTTAATTATTGGATACTTTAATTGCCGAGAATAAACGCGTGTAAAAAATAAATTCAATTTGGAATTGTCATTGTTCATTCTGTAATTGATTTAATTAATTTGATGGCCCATTCGCGACGCGTCCGTGTTTCGCGCATCATACAAAAGCGTAGAATTCACGCTTTATTGCTGGCTGTGATCAGCTGGCAGCAAAAGGAGTTCCTCCTTGCTGTCAATTTTTGGTTTTATGAAGCCAGGGCCAGCAAGAGTTCTGGCCAAAAGAAAGAAGGCGAAAAGAATCGCACAAGGTAGGTTGGTGTACATGTAACACCAATTGAAGAAAAAGGGTGCTTTATAAGGCATTCTTGATTAAGGTTGTTTGCATACGTGCGATTGCACGTAATCGGAGACTGCAAGATGCACAGTCTCGAGTTGAAAATCTCTATTACGCGTAAATTAAATTCCCAACATAAACTCTCAAACGATCGCGTTTTAAAACCAAATTCGCTCTTTTAAAATTTCGGTTAATCGCGGTCGTAACTAAAAATATATTAGCTAAAGATTCGGGTGGGTAAAAATATTATGCACCGTAGGTAGAAATACAGGTAAAAAGCATGGAAACATTGGATAAGGAAATGAGTACACAAGAGTATGAGTTAGGAATATGGGGGAGGGGGAGGCTGTAATTTTCAACAATAAACCGAAGTTTAAGAAATTTAGGTAGAAAAATGAATAATTGACTACACGGGTAGGTAGGATTGGGGGACAATTCGACGAGGAAAAAATTAATTTACTTTCTACATTTATTGTACATTTTTATGCAAAGAAACTTTCAAATTTACTTTACAATTACTTGCACAAATTTACTCGCACAAACTTGTACAATAATAACGCAAAGATATTCATAACAATAATAATCAGATAAAGTTAAGACTTATGTACAAAATGATAGATTTGGTCGAAAATTATTGAACATAAAATTGTACGAAATTGTAGAAAAAATTTCGATTGTGTAAAATTGTACAAAATTGCATATCTAATTTGTGTAAACTGGCTTACACGAAGTCGAAACGCTTATAACACAAAATTTCTTAAATTAAAAACACTAGATATTTGATTTTTATAAATTTTTTATTTTTTGTCCTTTTATTTCGTGACTTTAACTTTTAGTAGCAAAAATCACTAATAAATTCGAGAAATTTTTAAAAACTTTGTGTTCCAAATTGTTGCCAATTTTTATAATGTATAAAAACAAAATTTTTTACTTAAAATGCGAAGATTTCATGGTAAGCTAGTAGACATTGAAATTTAGATATTTGCAATTATTAAACTTGGTAATTTGATACGATACCATTTACCTCTTTTGAATCTAAAGTTATTGCAATCCCCTTCGCATTAAGAGATCTTTGAATATAATTAATTATTATCTAATCTAGCAACTTTTTAATATTTTATATATCATAATTATATAAAATATATTGTACGATGACTGCGGGACAATCAGTAATACCGACATGCTATTCTTGTACGTACAGTTTTTATTCGGACATATATTATAAGAACACTAAAAAATATGTACTTTTACAATGTCGCGCGTTGCTTAAATTCTAAGTACATGTCCAGAGAGGCACGGGATGATATATTTAATTTTTCGCCTCTCGCTTCATCGGCCGCAAGGCTCTGTTATCATATACAAATCGCCAGAAAACAACGAAGAACGAGAATTGAAAAGGAGTGGGGACAAGGATCCGGTGGTATGTACAAGTAAAATGTCTGCGGGATTGTCTCGTTCTCTCATCGTGCATCGATTTTCGATAGTCATATCTCAAGGCGCAGCTCGTCGCTTTCATTACACGGGTAGAAGAAAGAAGAGGCTTCTTCCCGCGAGCGTTTCGTCGGCGATCATACGCGATGACATTTCCTACGAGAAATCGACACGCGACTATCCTCGCGGCCGCATGCGGCGATGTGCGTTTTACTGATCCTAATTTACATAAATAATAATTATAGTTATAGTCGAGTCGCGGAAGAGAAACCGGGCGTGGTGCGTTTTTCTTTGCGAAAGCAGAGGCGCTTCGCTTCACTTTAATATTAGTGTTCGATCTTCGAGTGGCCAAGAAGGTGACGCTTTCTAATTGTGATAAGACGATTTCGAGATCTCACCCGAAATCTCGCGCCTCAAAACGCGCCCGTCGCCCGATCGCTTTCTCCGTGTCTTTCAGAGCTGCGCCTTTCGGTTTCTTCGGTTCGCCGTGGTCGATTATCACATTTTACCTAACGTGATTTCCGGACTCGCTGGAAAAACGCTCGATCTCTGATAGTCGGATCGCACGGCCAGTCGGCGCGTCGCTCGCATTTCGTCAATGATGGATCACTTTCTCGCGGAGAAGCCGTCGCCGGTCGGATCCAGCAGCCATGGATAGTTGTTGGGGCACTCCATGCAAGTGAAGAGACGCAGGGTCTCGCCGGGCAGCTCTCTAGTCGTCAGAGGGCAAGCGTTGGGCAACGAGCAATAAGGCAAACCCTTTTCGTCACAAGTTTCCTTCCAATCCTGGAAATCTCTAAGTGCAGAGAGCTCAGTGGGCTGTTGCATCCACTTGATCACCTGGAAGAGAAACGAGCTATGAAACTTCTGCGTTTTAACGTATGACTGCGTTAACGTATGACTGCGATTGTTAAAAAGCTGCAAGCTCGCGCGATTTCTTACCTGCACCATAGTAACGAAGTACACGTCACTTCTGGCGATCATCTCCTCAATAAACTTGATCAGCTCGTCCTTGTACTCCTTCTTGCTCTTCAGCCAGGACGCGTGGAAGTGCAAACCGAGTGGCGCTCGGTTGCTGTTGAAATGTCTATTGAAGTTGTGTCTGAGCAGACGAGCGAACTGTTCGCCGGTTTGGATATTTGAGCAAGAGTCGACCATGTGACAACCCGGCAGGGACTCGTCGAAGGTGGGGTCGTCCCTGCGGTCCAGCTCGTTCATCACCATCTCCCAGACTGGATGCGACCTCGACGGGCAATTACCGCCATTGCCGTTGCACCTGTGGGGCATTCTGAAGTACAACGTGTAGGGCCAAATTGGCACACGTCCCAGAGACGCGGTGATGGAGGCGTCGTACACGAAGAACTGATCGGCCATCATCTCGAACTGCTTGTTACCGCCGACCCTGAGATAAGGTGCCCGTACGCCGATGATGGAGCCATCGGTGATGTTAGCGAAACGCTCGATGATCAGCCTGGCGCCGGCCATCTCCGCCAGCCAGTCGTCGTACGTGCCTTGGCTCCAATACTGCGGATCCTCCTTGTGCGTCAAAGAGAACACCGCGATCTCGTGGCCGCGCCGATGAAGATCCTGCACCGCCGAATAGTTGGTGTATTTGTGAGAAACGAAGAAAGTACCGCGGATTTGGCAACCGTTCGGATTCTGGCGTTGCCCGTTGAAAATCTCGTCGTAGAGATCGATGTTGTCCACGTTCACGGCGCCGTTGAAAGTGATCGTGATCATCTGCGGTACTTGCTGGGGATCGATGTTGCCGGGTATACGGGTGCCATCGGCCGAACAGTAGCAATCGGGTAGGACGCATTGCGTGGGATCGCAATCCGGCGCGCGATTGGGATCGGTCTCCACGGCTGTAACACGGATACTTTTTTCAGCAACATCGAGTTACACTGTTAAAACGAGTCCTTTACTTGAGAAAAATTTCACTTCACTCATATAAACTTAACCATTATATATGAGTCGCGAGCCGTTTTGAAATTAACAATCTTTTGCGGAGCAACGGGACGTATACGTGCCACCTCATGATAATCGGGTATTTCATTATTATAAGTTTATTTCTGCATCAATAATGCTCAAACAAGATTACATAGGATCCTAGATACCTAAACTATGAAATTCTAAGCTCTGTTAATACTAATTGTTTTCATGCAATTGTTGACAAGTAATTTATATCATTTATTATTAATTATTAATATTTTTAATTTATTAAACACGTGCCAGTTAAGGTCTACTAAACTTATCCATTGTTATTTATTACTGGCAACCTAAAGAGATTATCATGTTCAAATAATTTATGTCAAAAAACGTACGATTCTTCAATCGAAATTCGGTCACGGAGATATTTCACAAAGGATTTGATTGAAAGTCTATATACGGGCGTCTTTGGGGTCGCTGAATACGAATCTGAGATTAAAATTACAAAATTCAAAATGACAGATCCAAGATCGCGGGCAAAAGTAGCAAAAATTCAAGAATTTTCATAAAAATGTGTAATGAAGGATTTTCGGGGTTGCTGATTACGAATTTGAAGTCGGAATCATAATGTTCGATACAGTGGATTCGAGATCGTGGATATCTATTATATCCTTAGCGGAAAATTGCCAATTAAAGTAAAAATTGCCTACATATTGGGTCCACCATTGTAGATGAAGTATATTTTATAATTCTCACTTTAGATTCGTAATCAGCGACAACAAAAATCTCAAAGTACAAAGTTTCGCGGGAATTCGTTAACTTTTCCCATTTCGGTCCGCCCTTAAAAATTTTGCATTTCTGACCCCAGAATCGTGATCGGCGATCCCAAAAAATCTAAAGAACCACCATAACCTTCGTTATTGATTGGCTACAAAAATGTGCCCCTGAAAGGGTTAAAGACATATCGCTGTACGTACATCCACCTTCGATATCTGAACAATTACGCTCGGCGATTCTATTGCACAACACGATTGTAATCCAAATCTGGGATCGGCTCGTGTTAGCGTCACACGATCGTAGTAGGCGAACATAGTACGTTGCGACACTTACTGCAGGCGTTCTCGTCGGACTCGTCCTTGCAGTCGGGCTTGCCATTACAGAAGAGTTCCTTGTCGACGCACTCGCCGTTACCGCACGACAATTTTCCCTCCGGGCAAACGGGTTCGTCGGTCTTGAGGATGGGCAAGACCTTACGCGGCTCTGTAAAACGCAATCCCCGTTAGACCGCGCGACGCTCGTCCGCAGATCGACTACCATCCAAAATATCGAGCAGGTGTAAATCCATGGAATATCAATAGAATGGCCACAGAATGCCTAGTACGATAAAACACTATGCTTTCAATCAATCGAATGAATTCAGAGCTCTATTCGCTTTAAGTAAATGCGATTAATTATAGCAAAGTTCGTTGAAAGGTATCGTATACAATAATAGACGTCTGTTATAATAGACATTTCAAGGCAGATTACCGAATATTGTACGAGATCGTTATCATGCTCCACGTAATTCACGTGAGTGACTAGACCGGTGTAGTCAAGGCAATTAAGATTTCGTAACAGGCACTTTATGGCTGTCTACTGAATACTATATGAAATTCTAACTGCTGTTGGTGCTCTATGTAATTCACGTGACCAGCTACAGGTGTAATCAAGGCCCGACTGCCACTGTTCCCCCGTTTTATTTACACGCAGCAGCGTAGGGACCGTGCGCTACATAGTAGACCTGGCAAATACGGAGATGCAAAGTAAAAACGGTTAAGCTGGGGGAGGTCGTGCTGAATTAATTCGTGCCACCCGATTTCCGCAGCCTACCTTGCTTCACCTTAGCGAACAGTAACGCATGAGATCTCTCCTCCGTGTATTTTTTTTAACGCGTGGTGGCGGAGTATACGCACACGTATATACAGATAGAGCTCAAGGATCCTGTAAGGATCTGCTTTCGGAGGAGCGAACGCCTTAACGCACGCATCCGCTCCTACGCCACTGCCCTCCGAGTTTCTTTTTACTTATTGCGACTCTCCGTCGGAATTGGCTTTCGTCTCGTCCCGTTTGTCGTCCTCTTTTATTTTCACCCTCCGAGTTTGTTTTTTTTACATCTGTCGTCCACTACTAAGTGCGCATTTTGTCGGTCGGTCAACGCTTCTCAAAGCTTCTCGTTTCATTGTCCACGAAAGGGTAAATGTATACGGCTCGTCCTGCAACCTCTTTACCGGTTTTCGCAGGAAGACTGTCTTTCGCTTGGTGGCGATTCCAAAGATAAACTTTGACTCGGATAAACTTGTCCGCCTCGTTGACTGGCAGCGATGCACGCAAGCCGTTATTCGTGTGTATGAGAGAATGAGAGAGGCAGAGAGAAAGAAAGAAAGAGGAATAAAAAAAAAGAGTTTTTGGAATTGTGATGGTGCGAGCGAAACTAGAGGAGCGAGAATAAACTGTTGCAAAATTAAATTAGAGTGTAAAGCAGCGTGAGGAATTTGGCATGTCTGGTGACGTCCGCGACTTTCAGAATTAGTTGACGAACGTGAATCGAGTAATGTCTTCTTCTCTTGTTATTTATTCGCATATTCAGTAAAGGTTCAATCTGTGTTAAAACTTTCCATGATCTTCTGTCGCTTGGAAATCGATGGCTCTCGTTTCCCTTTAGCTACCGTTTGTAATCAAAAGAAAGTATATGACATCCTGTATGCCGTTCGACGGCTGCGACAGATTGAAATTACGGAAATGGATGTGTGAAAAAAGTCTCGTCACTTGACGGTCGTGAGACGGGAATTGCTGGCGAAAGAGGTGTCCTCTCTCAATGAGATTAATTGACGATCGGACTGATCGCGCGCGTATCTCGAGACTTCAGTAGTAAAAGCGAGCCGGTCATACGGCTGGCCGAGTAGCGAGGAGCTACTCCTATAAGGAGGCCAGATCGCCGAAGCGAAACCGATCTGGATGTAGAGAGAAAGATCGGCGAACGAATACGTGCAACCTCGTACCTGGAGCGAATTAGGGGGAGAAGGGAGATCGCTAAATGTTAGAAAATCATTGCGTGCCAATGTGGACTCGCACTCGAACTGCAGAAAGATCGTGACATTTGGAATTTGCGTGGCGGTAACGCGCGATGCGAAATATGTATCGCGACTATATTCTAGCGCGTGTGTGCGCTAATTAACCCATTAACAATTTTTAAGCTGACCCAGCGGCCGTTTGAGATACTAGAATTAATTTCTCTAGCGCAAAGTTCGTGTCCAGTGGAATGAGAATCGAACGCAGCGGTGCGTTTAGCGTTAAATGGAATTACGTTTTGAAACGCCGGTGCAAAAATCGCGATTATCTTCGAAGCGGAGAGATTATCAATGCGCGAATTGCGACATGTGATTTTATGCACGTTTTTGCGCAAACGTCGCTTCCCTCCCCGTGATCTCTCGACGGCGGAAGTCACTCGGCGCGAGATCCGCTTACTCGGCTGTCACTCAAAAGTAAATGCCCCCTCGGCCACTAAACGGGAATACGTCTAATATATATGTTCGCGCGAGATAAATATTTCGCCACCGGTTATCGCCGCTCGCAAGGGAACAGTGTCGTAACGCGGAAGCGTAATAGCCTTCCGCGTGCACACTGGCACGCAACACAGTGTTAATGATTTGACGACAGACCGCCGTTAAGCCGACAGCGAGTCTAGTAAAAATCGAAATTGGACGAAACCGCAGGAATCAAATATCTCATTAAACTTCGGTTAGCTCCGTCGCGGAATTGGCACGAGTCGAAATTGCCTTCCGCGAAAAGAGAGATTCCTCGGCAAACGGAATTCTCACTGCGATTACAAAGAAAAAAGAAAAGTTAATTGATACACATATATAAAATATTTAATAACTATCTTTTAAATGGTTGAAACGAGGGCGCGGGACTGTTGGTTAAAGCCGGAACGGAATCGAGAACACTAGAACCTCTTCGTCCAACTCCATTGGAAAGTGCAGTTTTGTTAGTCATATGCGCGGTGAGTCGTGGAAATTGTATGAGAAAAATTGCGGGAGATAGTTTCGTGGATTCGAAACCGGGTTAGCCGTTCGCGAGGCTCGATGTTTTCACGACCATAGCGTCTCTGAAACGTTTTCGTCCCGCGCGAAACGATGGGGCATAGAATGGGGCCCCGCTGGGCCCGGGTACTTTCGCTGAAAATCGAAACCAGTCCCGGTCGAGACTCGCCTCGAGCTTCAGGACGAAAGTGGTCGGGCGAGAAACCCCCCCGCGGCGGGCGAGAACCGTCTCTCGAAAGTATCGGGACCCGGGCGTTTTCGATCGTTAATCGCTCTCCGTCTGAAAGTACAAATTCCCTTCCCCCCCTGTTTCTTCTCTCGCGATCAATCTCGCGTTGAATCCCGTCGTCCCGTGTTAACGCGCGCTTTCCGGTTTAAATCGCGCGTCGTTGGAAAGTTTCGCATAGTTTGCTTTTTCGAGCCACCGTCGTTTGCGTAACGAAAACGGTTGCGTAATGTCCCGCGTCGCGATTAAAAGAAGCGACTTCTTGCTCGTAATTGGGTAACGGACCCCATCGCAGCAAAATTGTGATCGAGCAAACTTGATTTCCAACGGTAACTATTTCTATTCCTTCCTTATTCGATGTCTCTCGGTGAGCGTTCAGAGACGTTCAGGGTCGCTGCGCATCGTGGACGAGACTGCGTAAGGTGCGTGAAGACGGCCATGCGTTAGTTCTAATGATACGAACGGTGCGTGCTACGTTGCGAGTCTACGAGGGAATCGGCGATTTAACCAGCGAGATCGGCCGGCCGTCGTCGCCGATTCTCCGACTTACTCTCGAGCTTGTCACAGTTGGTGACTTTGCCCTTCCAGTCGCAGGTCTGTTTGTCCAAGTCAAAGGCCAGTCCGCTGGGACACGTGATTTGCTTCAGGCCGGACCTTGTACACCTGCCGGAGCCGGGACAGAAAACAAAGGGTGCCTGCGTGAGTCTAACTAGGGAAAAAGGCATGACGTTCGCTTACTCTCAAGCTGATCGCAGTTCTTCACGTTCGTCTTCCAGTCACAGGTCTGCCGCTCGATGTCGAACGCGAGACCCGTGGGGCACCGCACCGTCGCCAGCCTGGTCACGCCGATCTCGCTGGCTTTGTCGCACCTAAGATCATGTCTCATATCGAAAATCTTTTCCCACGCGTGCGTGCAGTAGCCTCGAAATGCGAGCGGTAATATCGAATTCCCCTTCGATTCGCGAAATAATTGAGCACCAAGTACAATGGAAATGAAACAGCATGTTTACAATAAACAAGAGCATGTATGCATCGACACATTATAAACTGGCGTTACGCCCGTAACCTATTGTTGCATCGTAATACAGAGCTGATGCGCTTCCATTGTGTTCTGTTAATATGAATTTAGGTTTCGATCGTATCCGCGTGGTTTAAAGTCGTTGAATAAATGAAGGCGCAATGATATTACCGTGTTAAGAATGCGCTAAAGGAAAGCTATTCGGATCGAGTGTAAAAAAAAAAGGTATCAAATGGCAAGGGAAATGTTAAACTGGTCATGGGGCTGCATCTACCAGATCGCCTTGAGCCCTGGAAAATTTGAATCGAATCACTCCTAATCAATCGCATCCTGGATCGATGAATAAGCGATTGACGTTATTTTTATATACAATCGACCGATGACTTATCGCTATCTGCATTCCGGGGTATATAACGCGTTCTATCAAAACCGGATGCCCTTGGGACTTACATTCTCTGTCGTGGTGCCGAATGAAAGATATAAAAATGTAGCGTTTCGCTTTCTGCGCTCTTCAACGGGCAATCGATCATTTTAGCCGAGTTCTCTTGAATGTACACGAATAAAAGTGGGCAAATGTTAAATTAACGAGATTAGAACCGGCACGATCCGGGGAAAGTAGTGATTGAGTCTGACAAGTTTGCTTCCTGGCGACCGGTAGAGTCAGTGATATAAGTCGAGGTACAGACGGAAGTGAGTCAGCGAGCTAGCTTTTTTTTTTTATCTAAAACTCGATTCACCTTACGCGATTCCATTCACCCGCGATTGCTGTAAATTAAACGCTTTATATAAGGCGATATAATTACAATCATATAAAGCGCAGAGACAACTCGCCGGTGTTCTTCAAGTTCTTGGAAACCGGTGCTTGAATTTTTATTACTTTTTGCGTGAAACATAGTTTATATAATTTTGCTGCGGGACGGTGTTGCGCTGAAGCGGCTTGATCCGATCCTGTATTCGCGGATGAAATAATACGGTGGCTTACCTCACGACATCACGACAATCTCCCTCAACGCTCAAGCGAAAGTATTCGTCGCCCGGCCGGTCTTGACAAAGTTCCTCGGCGTTCGCGTCGAGCCCGTCGCCGCCTTCCTCATCTTGCGCTCTGACCTGCGTCCCTGCAGACAGGAGTACGATTTACTAATTAATAATGCCCCTTTTGCACGAGTGAGTCACACAATTCACTTGTCCACACAATTCAATTTATAGCTTCTTCGCGAGACAGTGACGACGTTTCATATTTATTAAATCTCTTGGACATTTTTAGATACAAAATATGTTGCAATAAGGATATTATTCTTGACCTGAGTTTTAAATAGTTGATGTGTGCAAAGCTTTTTGAAAATCTTTATGAATATTTCCGTAAATAGTAGTGTTGCAGAAATTAGGATCGGTCGCGATCAAAGGCGGTTTTCGAGAATTGAATGTGACATTTCGCACGGGGACAAAGCGGAGGTGAATTCGATTAATCGTTGAAAATGTCACGATCGGTTCACGACACGAGTGTGAGCTTCGCGATCGCGAATCGAAGGAGGGGTCGGTGAACTCCGGTAGAAGTAGAAAGTCTTGAAAATGTCAGGGCAACGGGGGAGGGGAAAGCGACAGTGGTTCTGCAAAGTAGGTTCTCTCTCTCTCTCTCTCTCTCTCTCTCTCTCTCTCTCTCTCTCTCTCTCTCTTCGCACGCCCCCCGTCAACGATTTGAAAAATTCTCTTATCTCTATTCACAATTCCAATATTTTAATGTTTACTGACGGTACTTATTTCCTTTTATCACCCAATATTAAAACTCTTACGCTTTCCAACAATTATAAGACTCGCGTCTCAACTTGGCCGGTCGCGCGGTTACCTTATTAAATTGGACATATATTAATTGGGATTTAAAAATGGCACACCAACTTTCAATGACTTTTAATGAACGGTACAATTGAAATAGGCGCGACGTGAGAAAGTTTTGCACGGTTCAATTGTAAATAAAATAGACTGCACTTACCGGCGAGTAGACACAGGGATCCCAGCAGAAATATCAACTTCGGCGACATCGTCGTCGTCGTCAGGACAGAGAACGTCTGGACAAGCCGCGCCCTCTCCGCCCCTCTATATGTGCACCACCACTCCTTCCCTCTTGATCGTGGGACTTTCACCTTCCGGATCGTGCTGCCACCTCTCAAGAGAACATCTCGGGATAGAAGCCAAGTTCTGTTCATTAGAGAAGATGAAAAATCGATGAACAGTCGAATCCCGCTGCCACTGGGAATTTAGCTGTAAAAATGATTACGCAATGATCGTCGCAACATTATAATGATAATTGTTGCGACAGTATTTTTCGTGAAACTTTTAACTTCACCTGTCTTGGACGAAGGAAGGCATAAAAATAGAATAATCTTGAAACTTATAAGTGAAATTTTTAAAACGGCATCGTGGAAGGCAAGATGATAATCAAGGATTTAGAGGGATGGGACGCGTGGTTGAGCGTGGGCTGGAATGCAGAATTAATCGTTTGCACACAGGTCCTATTTTCTCTACCTGGCTCCATTATTTATTCCTTATTTTTGCGCCATCGACTTGTCCGACGTGGAAACCATTTTTAACTCGACTCGGATCACCGGTTAGCGGCTTCTTCCTCAGACAAGAATCGCATCAGGAATGTTGCATAGTAGAATCTAAAAGCTGGATTTATAACGTTGTTTTTGGCGTCTAAGGGAATTAGGAGAATTGGCACTCAAGTCCTTAGCAGATTTATATTTAAACGTCGATTATTATAATGAAGGTAATCTCTTGGGCACAAATGGGTCGCTATTCAAGGTCCGAGCCGTGACTTTGATCGCTGCCCATCGAGAAGTGAAAACGGAATCTTTTACGAATCTTCTTTTTATGATCCTCATGAAAATGTTACGATGTCCCCGAAAGCGATTGCGAATGAAGCCTTGCACTCGTAAACCTGAGAAAGTGTCACTCGCGCCGCGTTACTTTCATCGAGGATCGCGCTTGACGATACACTTAAGTGTCGTTTTAAGGCGCAGTATCGAGGCGCATTAGGGTATTCACAAAGTAAATTCAACGTGCTGCCCCGTGAAGGGGACACGTTACGGCGAAGAGAGTTCCGCTTGAAAACGGAACGTCCGCGCGTGGGAAGAGGAAAGTCCCTCGCGCAAGTGAGATATAATTTCAGATGTAATGTTCATGCGTACGTGATTGCGGAATCGCTCCTAGCGCACGGGAATTAACTGGCTGCTCGCGATTCTGTGAAATCGTTAATGATTTCATCCCTTTAAGTACGTGACCGTGAGATGAATCCTTCCGGAAGAGTAGTGTCTGCATGTGCGGTGAGGCGCGCCGAGTTTCCCCCGCGTGTCCGGAGGAGCGTTTGACCTTTCGGCGAAACCCATTGCCACGGCCCCGAAAATGTATTTTCTCAAAATGATGCAGCGCACCGGCGTGTAACGTTTCCGATCTGTAATCTTAATGTCTCAGAGGGTCGGACAGAGATATAAAGCAAGTCCCCTATTACGAGATATAGCAGGTTTTCCAACATCCAAATTCAATCACAAATAATTAGGGAATCGACACTGTTTATTGCAATGAACATTACCACATGCCTCGGTGGTCGAATTGGTGAGACGCCTGCCTAGAGTGTAGGGAGGTCCAGATTTATTGATCTTCGTAAGAATCGATTTGATGTATAGAACATATCGGTGTCGATCAATTAATAATGATTTAGCTGATATCTAGTACAGATCGTATTCAAGTCGAGTCCATAGATTAAGATATTTATTCGACTTTAATATGATACATAGTTGAATGATGACTACATTGTCGACATCTGTAAAATATTTTCTAGATATGATGAAATCTTCGAAATACCAACTTGATTATTGATTTACATATGATTTCAACTTGATTTACAACATGATATTCACCAGCTTCTTCACCAACTTGTGACTCCAGGGAGTCAATCTCATAATAGGGGACTTTCCTCCATGTATTTTTCTAACGATCCCATCGCCTTATTCCAACCGGCGCGTCCCCTTAGCTAGATGACAACGATGATCCGCTCGACGACCAATAAATTTGCGGTTTACACAGCGAAGGTTATTTGTGTCGTTGCCGGCGAAACAACATCGCAGGACGCGTATGATTGCGCGAGGCATTTGCATCGTCGCGTCACGGCGAAAGACGTCTATTCCAAATTCAGGTTACGAGCGTGCCGCGACTCGTGCGAAAGAATATAGATCTTCTTTAATGCCAAGGAATAAAAAAAAACAGCCAGAATTGTACGTACCGACAGGCCGTTGTATCGATGTCACGAAAGCGACGTGAAATCCCAATGAGATTCGCTCTAATGCGGAAGATCTCGCAGCTTGACAATTGCTCGCGCTTAGCCTGTGATACAGAATTACTCTTATTATACAACGTTGAGAATTTTCGCACCGGTAATTATGACACGACGATGAAGCCGTTATAAGCGTCGCGATTATAAACGATTAAAATTTGCATGGAATCGGCACTCGAGTCGTTAGTAGTGCGAATTGATACTAATCGGACATGTACAATTCACGCGATACAATTGTTTTAGCACAAATGCGTAGCCCAAGAGAAGGCCGTTGCCAAAGGCGAGCGCCGTAAGATTATATTAACCCTTTAAACCATTTTTCGTGAAATTTTTTATACAAGGGTTTTTGGGGTCGCTGATTACAAATCCGTTATCGGATTTTTATAATTCCAAATGGCGCATTCAAGATGGTGGAATTCAAAACTTAAAAGACTAACATCATTCAACTGTAATTCAACTATGCTAAAAAACATTATTTAGATATTATTGGGACCCATGGAATCTAAATTCCAGTTGAAGATTCTTATAGAATATAAAAAATAGCGCGCGCAAAATGGCGGATGCAAAATTAAAATTTGATCATTTCTTAGAATTCACTCATTCTTGGCACTACTCAGAGCTAACGACGCGGACGTGATGAGTCCCTAAATACCTTAATCAAACGAAAACGTTGAAACTTGAAAACTTAAAAAATTCACGTACTTTACCTTCGCCATATGGATTGGCCATATTGAATTTTGAACATCTGACATCAGATCCGTAATGAGCGACTCCGAGAATCCCTTTGTACAAAGAATTTTCAAGAAATAATCTTAAGAGACTTGGTTTCTTATTCATAAAATTTTTTACACTAGATATTCAAGACTACTCAACTTTTTTTTATATTCTTTTATTGCCGAGGTACCGAAAAAAATGCAAAAACCTAAATGCGTTAACTAGAAATTAAATGGCGAAAAAGTAAAGAAGTTGAGGTGGTAACGTGGGTTACCACCAAGCTTGAAAGGGTTAAATACGCCCGAGTGTATTTCGGCCAGGTTTTCCTCGGCATTGTGACACGGGAGGACCCAATGGCATTTCTAAATGCTCGAGCCGCGCGCGAGTCCTTGGCGAGATGCACGCGTCGGGATGCCGACGGGGGCACACGTTCACCGACGTACGTGTAATAAATAAATAGGGAATCGCGCAGGAAACCAGTTTTCGTAGTGTCCGCGACATGCGGTGGTGCCTCTCCGTTGCTCCTCCTTCCTACGGGGCCCGTTGTCGCGGTGTCCTAGGTGAGGCCCGAACTGTATCCTCGTAATCCTCACGATCGACCTCATCTTTCACTGGTCGAGCGGAGTGACCGGTTGCCAAGTAAAAGTAGCTGGCCGGTTAAAAATGACCGCGGCTGCTCGGCGATATACGCTCTTCTAGGTCATAAGTACCGCGGGGAGAGCAGTCGCATTAACTGTACATCGTCGTCCGTTGTTACGAATTTAAAGGCCGGCGTATACTTTCGATGCCGATCGTTAGTGTTCGAATTTGCGAATTTATGAACGTGCGTTTTATTCGTAGCTTCTGAGGCTGAAAGAGGTGATTTCAATCGAGTAGTGTAAGTATCGTGGCTCTCGAACCTCTAAACTTCTCGTCGGTTGCAAAACGCGAATCAATCGTGGCGAGGAAAGACCGGGCGACGAGAGAGCATTTTCATTATCTCGTCTAGGACAGCCGCGGGGGTCGCGATAAATGTCAATTGCCAATCGGCATTTCGAAGCCTCTTTCCTTCGGAGGCGCCGATCTCCCGCGACGGTGCACTGAACCGCAGCTTTTCTTCGTTCAGCATGTGTTCCCCACCCTTCTATCTTTCGTCGACTGCTCCTACATACGTGACGTTCTCGTTCGCTCTCTCCTTGAACTACTGCGGGTCCCGCACTCGATGGTTGACGCGGGCCTCACCTTCGACTCCTCGGATGCTCCCAGAAGAAGCTTGAGTATCGCTCGAAGAAGCGACAAGAAGTAGTCAGTCGGAGAACGGCTGGTTTTTGCGCCAAGCTATCTCGATTATTGCATTAGAAATGCGGTAATTATCGCTGCAGGTGCGATAAGCATCGTTGCTTAGATTGCGCGTGTCAATTACAGAATTGCAACTGATGAAATGTATATTCTAGCGATTATCCGACATCTTTTGAGATAAATAAAGAGAGAGAGAGAGAATATAAAAAACGTGTACATTTTGGGTAGAGCCCAGCTTTAAAAATAGATCGGAATAGCTTTAAAATTCGTTCTTGGCAAATTACGAAAGCGTCTTTTTAAACTCAAGGAGATATCTTAAATACAATTTGAGAAGCCATGTAACATCTGACAGTGCCTCATCATAATTAATAATAACTTATTTTCATCTTATGAATATCATGCATGATTAATATTTTCTTCGAAACGCTATTTATGACGAACTTTTGCCTTTCTAAATTCAAACACGTGACATCCTTGATGAGTGAAGCTTCAAACCTGCTGTGACACGTTGATTCCGGAACTTTTTTATATTTTCCAGTGAGAGCGGGTTTCCTATCGTCAAACACTTGTCGCGTTCCTTCCGTTAGACTATTATCGCTCTTGGCCATCTATTAACTCCTTCCAATCTTTCAGTCTTTCACTTTTCCATTTAATCGCATTTCTGCATCGACAAATTAATTTCCGAATGTAAACTTTTTATATGCAGGTATATAAAAGGTTTATTTCGTACGTTCTATAAAGATTGTCGCGAAACGAAAGAAAAAAGAGAGACTTGCGTTCAATTAACTACACGAAAATTTAAATCGCTTCAAGCTTTCATCTTACGAAACTACAAATCTTTTATTCCCTTTTGTGTACGCAC